GTGCATTTTTTCACTTTTAATGTTTTTTTCATCAAAATATTTATAATACAAAAATTATTCCATAGCCTTATTAGAATTTTCATAAATAACATGACACATAAACCAAACCAAACCCAATCAATGAAAAAAAAACCTAAAATAGAAGAAACCAAACTGAGATTTTTATTCCATTTTATTTCGCGATTTTCGTTTTTTTTTAACGAAGACGATTCAATGAAGATAAATTTTGCTGAAAAATTCAACACATTCAAGTGTGTCAATTTTGATTCAAAATGATCGCAAAACTTTGTTTTCATTTCGTCGTTTAAAATGTGTGCGCTTGCTTTCTAACATCATTCGCAATATGTAAGTCACGGAAATATATCTATTTCTATGCGAATATTGAGTAAAAATTTAGATTATAAATTATTTTGCTGTTTTTCTTTTTTAATTCAGTTTTAAAAAGATTAATCATAGTGTTTTGTTTTTGCTTGATCTGTATTAGGTCAATCATCAAATATTTGATTAAGTTGAATAAGTATTGTTTCAAATTTTAAGGGCAACCGATGCCACCATAACTTCATTATTTGCATTCGCTTTATCATTTATTTCAAATATATTTTTTTTCTTTTCATTTTGTAAAATAGTTTTCGCTCTCTACATCAATTTCATTTATTTTGTTTTTATTTTTTTGAAAAAAAAAAACATATCTTTCGAATTGACATTTAAATTTTATACACGCAATCAATATATAATTTAAATAAAAAGAAAAACAATTGGCTAAAGTTTCGAAGCAGCGAAAATATAAAATTAAATTAAACATGAAACGCCGATTATCATCCAATGGATGGTGGTACAATATTCCGACTCTAAAAACACAAATATCTTCTCTTTTTCATTTCATTAAAAAAAAACACGTCTTTAAATCAGCTAAACTACTATCAATTTGATCAAATATGGCCTGTTACAAGCAGCAATGTGCTTAAGATTCTTTTCCTTAGTTATTTCGTTTTTTTTTACAACACTACATTTTTATTGATAGTATTAATAATATATAGATTTTTCTACATTTCTCTCTCTCTCTCTCTCTCTCTCTCCGTACGGATTAGTTCCTATGTACTAAATATGTTCAAATATTGTGTGTATGTGTGTGTGTATGTGTTTTGTTTTTCATTTATAGAGATTGAAATCCATCAGTGTTTTCAAATTTACAAAAATTCAATTTGTTCTGTCGAACGGTCGAATGCAAACTGAAAAGTGCTGATCAAGTGAGATGCATCTTTGATTGGATTGAAACGACGATACTATAATGTCGTTCAGTTAATATTCGATGATCTGTGAAGCAGCTTTTGTTCATCATTACACTTCATGATTATATTCAATAATTATTTGTTTTAAATTTAGTCTCATATACAAATATATTTATAGATCGTCATAAAAAGAACGCGTCCTCAGAGTTGGATGTGACAATTTTGAAAAAAATGATTGCGCAATTATGAATGATAGAATGTTGTAAAATGCATAAATGTGCGTATGGGTGTATGGAGGTATAGAGGATGAAGGTAGAAAATGACATTTATTATCAAGAGATAAATTCCAAATCAAACTTGATAAAAACATATCGCATATATCTTATATTCAAGATATACTTGATTTTATTGATTCATTTTCACGCTAATTACTTGCTATCCAATGGAAAATATTGTACACATGCATAAATCATTGCTGTCAAAAATTGAATTTTTATGCCATATCCACACACATTCGTTCTATTTCTTATTTAAATTTTTGTTGAGATCGTTGCTTATATCAATATAAACAACGTTTTTACGCAATTTCTTCATTAAAAATTATTCGCTTGTTCGGTTCACAAATAGAATAATATCATTTAATCTAGATCTATTATTAATCTGCTTTAAATGTTTAACACATTGGTGTGTTATTTATGTGTATTGGGTGTCGGTCTTATTTTCTCTCATAAATTTACACAATTGTTAAAATCTAAACAGTTTTTGTTTGTTTTTTGTTTTGTTTTATAATTTTTTTTTGTTCTCTTGGAATCATTGTTAATTTCTCTTGTAATTAAATAATTTTTCATAACTGTAAATCTAAGTACGAGTGTTCTCTTTGTGAGAGATTTTATCCTAATAGCCTATATATACTTTGCCGAGATGTATCTTTCAACTATAACATGGCTCAAAATCACCATTTTCACATTTGCTCATTCTTCACATTTACTATTTCAACTTTCTCTTCATTTTGCACGTCGATCGCCAAGCAATTGACTTATTTACATTTATTATGACGATTGATTCATTTCAATGAATTTTGCTGTGTTCGTGACAGAAATGCTGTGCTCTTCACTCTTCTTTCGTTTCGTTTTTAAGAAAACTTTACTGTAAAAATTAAAGGACTATTTATATTCTAACTTGAGTTCTAAGGTTTTGCTATGTCAGAATGAGCCGTCATGTAGTCTCTCCATTTGTTTTTTTTTTTTAAACCTATGCATATATAATTAGATAATATAATATAATAGATCATTTTTTTTTAAATCTGGCATATAATAATATAAACTCTTGTCTTTTAATCAGTTATTATTGAATTTGTCACGATTTTCTTTTTTCATTTCTTCTATCTTCGTTTGAATGTGATTTGTGTATGTGAAATTTGTGGTTTGTAAAATGATAGAAATGGTATTTTTTTTTTTGTGGTGGCTTGACATTTCATTGGGCATCGGAAACCATATCGGAAACGATAGAGAGGCCCAGACAATTGGCTCAATTAATATGCATTTTCGTTGATATTTGCGTGTTTGTTGGGTCAAGACTATTTTATTCATTGTCTGTAGCTATGTTTTGACCTCTCTACCATGGATGTGAACTTTTGCATCGAAACTGGTTTCACTTTATACTTTCAATGGTCGAATCATTAAGTTCTTTTTTTATTGATCAATGTTAGTTTGTCAAATGTTAGCCAAAAAAAGAAAAAAGTTCCATTTTCTTTCATATATATATATAGATATATGAGCTGTGTCCTTAATCCATTAAAATATTCATATAATATCTGTGTTTCATACTATCTTCAATATTACTTTTTTCGGTTTCATAAATAGTTTTATTTTGTATATCTTTTCCAATTTCACAAATATAAATTTCTGTGTATATAATAAATGCTTTCTGTATTTCAAAGAAAATAAGAACAAAAAAAAAGGAACGTAAAAGAGAAGAATAAAAAAAGGAAAGTGTGATTTTGGAAAATAAGCTCGGCGCTGTACAAAAACACTAAAATCATGATAATGAGATATCTTCTTTTTTTTTAGAAAAAAAGTGACCGATTTCATGTTAGTATGATAGTGTGTTTCACGTCGCCAATCAAAACTACAAACAAATAAAATTTTACATAAAAAAAAAACAACAAAAAGGCAAAAAAACATGCGAAATTTCATCAAATCTTTGTGTATTTTCCATCATAATTTATGTTCATCGGCATTTTAAAGTATAGAGGCTCATTTCATTTCTATTTCTCTGTATGTTACTTAAAAAATAAATATACATTTATTCAGTTTTATATGTTGTTTTAAATACATATATTGCCGTGAATCGTTCGAGTGAATTTTTCTTTAGTTACACGATAGAAAATACTGACCATTTTAACGCACCACCCCCTTTTTTTCAAAAAGGCGGTTGAGATTTTGGCAAAATGAACATGATTTTTATGGTGAATAAAAAGAAAAATACACTCAACTCGATTCGGGCGCATATTTGCAAATATTCATTAATTGTGTGGAATTATTATTTTCAAATAGAATTAATCTCCATTTTTTTAATATATTTTATATTGTCTCACAAATAAATAGCTTTTTTTTTTAAATTTTTTTCTGTTTAATAATTTTTCTTCATCTTCTGTACTGGTTTTTATCTCATTAAATCTAATACATATGATCTGTTTAATAAATTGTCCTCTTAATCAAGGTTTATCTCTTATTCACCTCGTTCATTCGTTACATTCAATTAATTATAACAAACAGTCTCAATAAACGAAAACAAAAATAATACAAATATACTCAATAATCAAAATACAATAATAAAATGCATAATAATGATAATAATAATATAGTTATAATAAAATTGTAATTTTATGAAAAGAATCTTTTTCTCTCTCTCTCTCTTTCTCTTTTAATAAAAAAAAAAATCTTGAACAAAAAAATCTCTCAGTTTTGTATGTGTATGTGTATTTTCTTTAAATAATAATATTAATGGGACAACAAAAAAGAATTCGGCTGAGAAAAGCGCAAAGGAAAAAAAACGCTTTCAAAAAATGTATGCCATATTCTAGGTGCCTATTGAAAGCGGAAAGAATGTAAATTATTTCTCATATTTGTAAATATGATTTGTTTTCTTCAAATTTCAACAGTACATTTCAAGTTTTGCTGTGGTTTTCATTTCTCGCACAATTTCTGTATGATTTCTCAACGCTTACAGAATTCCAACGCATTTTAACGGACTTTAATTTCTCTTTAAATGTAAAAAAAAACAAATGGGCTCCATGAATGGGAATGTTAAAAGCGAGCCATAGTTGTAAAATGTATTCTCATATATGCATTGAGTTTGTGTTGGTTGTGTGTAATTTATGTGTTTTTCATCTATTTAGAATTTTTTTTGCACAGAATTGCGTGATTTTCTCTTCCTACATCCCTTTTACTTGATATACTTTTTTTTTAATCATTCTAGATAGATTTTTTCTTTTATATTTTCGTCGAATTTTGCCTTTGCCAAACAAATTACTACGAGACTATGTGCTACCGCCTAATTTTATTCCGAAAGTGTCGAGCACTGGTATGACAATCGTTTGCCCATCGAATGTGTTGTTTGTGAAAAATAAATAGAATGAAAAAACTGAACAATAAATTTTTTTCTTGATTTTTTTTTGAATCATCTTCATGATTAATTTTTTTTTGTTTGTTTCATATATAACTTGTATTAATAAATTAAATTTAAATGTATTTAATTTTCTTTTTTTTTAAAAAAATGTCTTTTCTAATGCTTGCTTGATTTGAATATGGCTTTGAAGCGAATTCATAATCTAGGTTTGATTTCCGCCATAAATTGTGATGTGTAAGGAACCAAATTTAAAATAACTCGCTTTTCGTCGTCACATTTATTTATTTTTGCCTATTAAAATCTCATATTTTTTTGTTATGCTTGGGAGTTAAGATGGTTCGGCAACAATTTAAGTGGCGCAGTTTTACCATCTTAACTCAATCTATTTCTATTAATGCGCTGTTATCGCTAGGGTTTTGTTTAAGTTCTTTAGATATTATTCATCTCTAAAATATAATAATAATAATCAAATATAAATTATTTATTTGTTACTTTATAAGCTATAATTTTTAGTTCAAAAATTGTATGGTTTCTTGTCCATAGGGTTGTGTTTTTATGTTTCGGTTTTGTATTTATCGAGAGCGATTGTTTGTGTGTGTGTGTGATTTATGTTCGTCAGAATAATATTTTTTTTCTTAAAATTTAAAAATTTTGGTTATAAACGTATTTAAATTTGTATCGAATAAATGCAGTATGACTCATTTGAATGAGTATTATAATGCAGCAAGCTGACAATGTGATGTCTCTTAAGTTTTAGGTAAATTTTCGCGTAAAATTGTCTGGTTTTTTTTTGTTGTTGTTTCCATCAAATGCTTATAATCAAACGAAAATTGATTTTGTTTTCTTTTATAATATCGTTGAATCGTACATATATAGTATGTAATATATATTTTAATATATATATTTATATTAATATGCTGAGTGTTGGTTGATGGGCCGGAGCGTCATCATCATTATCGATATATTACCAAATAAACATATTCAAATTACAATAAGTCGTTTGCGGTGATTTTCGTCAGATTTTTCCATTTCATGTTTTTTGTTTGTTTTGATTTAATTATAAATTACTACTAAATTCAATCGGTTTTTTTTCTTCTTCTTTAATGCGTTTTTTAAAAATTGGTGTGTATGTGATTTTGTGTGTGAATGAGTGTTTTCGTTCATTTGTCTTGGCCTTTGGTGGTGCTTCAAAAGCGCCCTCAACAGGCACGTGAATTGTGTGAGTGTGTGTGTGCTTTTTTTTGTTTTAGTTGTTATTTAAGCAATGATTCGAATGGCTTGAATAACTGTTTCACTGCAAATTGGACATGCTGATTCGCCACTGGCACAAATACGATTTGCACAATCCAAACAGAACATATTGTGGCCGCATGGTACTAAGGCAGCACTAACATCTTTGTCACCACAAACCATGCATTCACGCTGCTGTGATCCCGTTATACTTTTTGATCCACACAAAATGGTACCGACACCATTCATATTACCATTCATTGAATTCACAACACCTTTCATATTATTCAAACCGACCAATGTATTGATATTGATGGCATTCGGTTGCATTCCATTGTTTTTGCAATTGAATGAGGCGAGAAGCGAATCAGTTGGACTAACTGATGCTGTTGGCGATGAACTTGATCCAAACGATTGTCCAGGTGTTGGCATTGACCAAATATTGGGCTGTAAGTATTTGAACACGAAAAAAAAGAAAGAAGAACGCAAATTTTATTTATAAGAATTTAAAATTGAATTTGACGAAATGTGGAATTTCGTTAGGAAAACACAAACCTGTGGTGAATCGCCCAAACCTTCATCGATATCGACTGGTGTTGCATCGTTGCGCTTCCAAATGTTAATGAGCTCGGGCAATGTCATAATGGCACTCTTCGATGATTGTGAAGATGTTGAACTATTTGATGAGCATGTTGATGATCCAGCCGATGATGGCAGCACATTAACAACACCCATATCATTCTTTCCGTTCATAACATTCTGACACGCATTTACATTGTTGTATAATTCTTGTTGATTGTTGCCATCCAGGTAGCCAAACAATGAGCCAAGACCATTTTTGCACAATGATGCCAAAATTTCGGGTGTGTCTTCGCCATTGAATAATGAACTCAGACCGCCGTTACTGTTGCTTAATTCGTTCAACAAACCGGAATTGAGACCATTTAGAGCCGATGCAGCGTTACCCGTGCGCAATGCAATGTGCGCTTCAATTTGACGACGAGCCGATTGTACATTGTCTGGCATTCCGGTTACTTCAAACACTGGTTCTTTATCTCGTGATGGTGTCACAATGTATGTATGTGTTTGTTGTTGAATGTGCTTGATGGTGGCACCTTTTGGTCCGACAACCAAACCAACAACACGATATGGAACACGTACTTGAATTGTTATTTGACCAGGAACATTGGCTGGTGGTCCGGCTGGCGTTCCTTTACCAGAAACACCACTGAGTGATGGTTTACGCGATGCACGAATCAAACTGAAATGTTCGGCAGCCGATAGAATCTCACGTTTTGCTTTCGATACATCCTCTTTTCGACCGGTCACCACAAATACTGGCTCTTCACCACGAACCGGGGTTTTGATATATGTATTAGTCTTTGCTCTCAACGCTTTTATTTTACAGCCTGCAAATGAAAAGAAAACCATTTTTTTGTTAATTTTATTACATTATTCAGTTTTTTTTTCAAATTGAATTGATTCAATTGATATCACATCATGTATATTTTGACATAAAAGAAAATCGTTGTCCCTTTAGACGGGTGATAAATGTATTAAGAGAAATATGACCGAGAATCACGTTTCGCAAATTCTCTATTTACACACGATATAAACATGATAAAAATTGTTGCAGCATTGGATTGATTTATGTACATGAAAAGATTTTATTGCAATTGCGCGAAAGCGAAACATATATACTTAATGACGGAATTGTTTAGTATTAGTACCTCGTTCATTTTTTTTTGTATTTATTCGTGTGCATTTTTTGTTCTTTGTTTTCGTTTTTACGTTTGGCTTTTGATGTGTAACATTATGAAAACGAAACAACTTAATGATCTATTCTAGAAAATGTATATTTTTATCATAAAAGTCATTTTTGTAGCAGTAGCACTCTGTCTTTCTCCACTTTCATTATTTATTTAGTTTTTTTTTTTTCGTTGAATGAATGTATATGTGCGTTTCTCTTTGATTCTTGATTCAGCGTTCTTTCTGATGATTTTTTTTATGCTCAGTATATCTTTCTGGTTGTAGTTGGTTTCACATTACTAAAGTTTTATGCAAAAATATTACGGAAATATCATTGTTATTGTGAAGATACTATGGAAATATGATGGTACAGTATATTTGTTATATGTGTCGAGCATTCATTTTGTACGGAGTACAAGGAAACAGAGATTGAGAAGAAGGAGGGAATGCATGATACATTGTTCGCATTTGGCTAACGTTTATATTCGATGCATTGTTTCGGTGCATTCCATTAGCCAAATGGTGTAGTGAGTAAATCATAAATATCGAGTGCATCCCGAGAATCCAGAGACAGAGAATGAAAATGAATGAGTGAGCGGTTGAACGACAGAGAGGGGGGGGGGGGCGAAAGGGAGGAAGTGAGTGAGAATAGCACACAACCTAAACAAAAGCTTTTGCGCTCAGAACAATCAAATGTATGCTTTCTCATATCAAACTGTTTTGCGCAAAACAATAAAGTGCGAAGCTGATAGCGATTAAATCGAAAAAAGCGAGCACACAAATAGAATGAAATCGAGCATCTGATTTGGTAATTCGTGGTAAAAGAAGTTACTGAAATCATTCAGTTTCACCGTTTGACCAACAATGTCAAATGTTTCATTTTTTTTTAATAACTCATCTGCATTCCTTCTTCTCATTCTTTTCTTGGTTATTTAATGTTTTTGTGATTTGCCCTTAAAATCGTATTTAAATTCTTTGAAAGATTTAGGCATATTTTTTCGACATTCCATTTAAATACTTTTGCGTGTACTTATTTGTTTGTGTTATGTGCCTTTGTATTTGTTTATATTTCCGTGGTGAGCGAGCATAGATGAGGGGTTGGTAAAACGAATGAAATGCGATGGAGTGGATTGCGTGTTTTGGAAAGCACATGCTTTGGGAAACGTACGCATAAAAACGGTGACTATGAACCGCAATGTACGCATTTCATAGTATATAAGACGACAATGGTACGCTATATCGGACCGATAGAGTGTTCTAGAGCACGAAATTCATATGATCACGATGACGGCACACAAAACCTATTTTTTTGTCTTATTCCCTGTAAATCATTCGGAAAATGTATCATCGCATCGTCAACAGTAATGACAAACGCAACAACAACACCAACTACTACTCGAAAAAAAAAACGTCGAATGCGCACACTTTGAGTCACAGATACACACACATACACACATAGAGCCTCATCATTTCTCTAATAATTTGAAAAATATTAAATAACATTCGCATAAAATGTCCAAATATGCTGGAAGCCATCCAACCCGGAAACGGTAAAATAAGCGTCAATTCGAGCCCATTCATTTGAAACTTGATTAACGAACACACACACACACAAACGCATTTATTCAATGCTTGTCTCTCCCTTTACCGCTTTTCCATTAGCCGCTGTATCATTTTCCTTCTCGCCTTTGATTAAACAAATGCATCTCACTGGGTACCTAATTTGTAGATCATTTGCATAATCAGATGAATAATTTTAGGCACATATGAATTTTCAATCATATTACACATTTACTATGTGAACGAATGGAAATAAATACTGAACTTTATCTGAGTACACGCAATAGAGGCATTTTGAATGCATCGAAACAAGCAAATCGACATTTACTGCTACAAAATCGATATACACTAATTGCACACCGAACTCGAAACCGACCGCCATTGTGTGTACTCAAATAAAGTTTTGTTTTTATTCCGAGGTGGTCATATGAGCCTTTCAATGCACATTCCCGATAGAGATACAAACTGGCTTGGCACCCAAATTTTTTTTTCAATTCGTTGAACATTTTAATCACGATTTTATTAACGAACAAGCAAGAGTAACGAATTGAAAAATACATGTGCATTTTTCGCAAAAATAAACGCAACCCAATGAGCTTGAATTTTAATTCGAATATTTTGTTTCATTGAATGTTTAACGCAGTTTTATTTAATTAGAGTCGTCGAACAGGTTTTCCATTTCATGAAATAAGTTAACCCATAACTGAGGTGATGTTAGAGTGAGCTGAAGGGAAAGACATTTCCATTTCAAATCATCTATTTCATACATATTATATGACTAATTGTCAATTGGTTCGGGAAATCCTAATACATGTGGATTATTGCGACGAAAAAAAAGAGAGTGTTAACCAGAAGTGTGGTAAGATGAAGAAAAATCTGTACGAGCACTGAATAATTGAAAAGAATTAAGAATTTGGAAGGCAAAAGGGAAAGCAAAAATAAAAGCCAACCAATTCATAAAAATAGCAAGAAAAATATAAGAAGTAGCATTTCTCTCCGTCTTTCTGTACAAAATGAATAAACGAACATTGAAAACCTGAACATACAGATGAAAATGCAAAAGAAAAACTCTGCAGTAAAGTTGCTTCAGAAGAATGAAGGGAACAGCACGCGGCAATAAAGAAAGGTGGCAAAAAGAAAAGCGCAGGAATAAAATGTTACTGTTTCTAAGGCTCTAGTATAAAATGTTATGAATACAGACACACAGAGACATATCTATATATGTATAATAACAGAAGAAAGAAAAAAAACCGAACGATATGAATTGAATTTAAATTCTGGATTTGGTTTGTTTCGTTCCCTCTTTCGGTTGCAGTCATGTCCATTTGTTTTTGTGGCGCGATGGTGGATCTCGACGGTTTTCCACATAGAATAGAACGAATGTAGTCGCGCCAATGTATTTTTGTACATAACCATGCACATACAAATGCAAAAAAGTAAACCTAAAGAGAGTGGCAAAGAACTGGCTCATTCGCCAGAGTTCATTCACATTTTGGTGTTTTGAAAGAGCCACATCGAGAAACATATAGCACATAAATCAATATTCGGGGTCTATGTTTCAACAAATTCTTTGGCTTTGCTACCGTATCCATCTCTCATTGTATATGTATTAAATGCATATATTCTATGCTATTCGAATTGCACGCATATGATGACGCGCATTTTCACTGCAAAATATACACATAAACCGACCAATACTAATGAAAATGCGGAAGAGGGAATTTCCATCGTGTGTCAGTCACCAGTACTACCACACACACACACACACACACAAACACATAACCATACGTACGGTCTATATAATTATGAGAAAAGGAATAAGAAGAGGAAAAATATGCATTCGGGAAATGCTGACTTCTGTCTTCTGAACAATAACAATAATTGTGACGCTCAACACACACCGCATGTACATATACATGTACAAACACATAAACACACACCTGCTACTAGGCGACAGGCGTATTGTGTTTGATCGTCACGAATAAATGGGAAAATCAAAACAAAAACACCCGCCAACAATCGCCTGTATGTTGTATACACATTTTTTTCCTACTTTGTTGTGTTTTGACTTCTTTTTTTCGTTTCATTTGCTGTGAAAAAACGCAAAATTACCACAAAATTACGATAATTCAAGGCAAATGAGCGATTCGATCACACAAAAACAACAAACAAATCGAAACATAATGGGGGAGATATTAAAAAAAATAACGAAATGCAGTAACGCTTTATTGTGCTATACATTTTGTTCAATCCTTTGACGCACAGGAAGAGGAACTAATTTTGTTAGGGAGTTGAGTCGCGTTCAGGATGTTTTTTCTCTCTGTCTCTTTTTCTATTCGAATATGATGTGCAACATGAAATATTTATTGATTGAGCAAATTCCTGGATTTTTATGAATAATATAAATCACATTTGTAGAGAAAATATATATTGGAACATAGATTGTGAAGTCTGTGATCCATCATTTTGCATTTTCCAACTATATTGAAGGGGGTAGTCTCTGTAATTTTGAAATTTAATTCAATTTTTTCCTCTTCAGTTTTCAAAATGTCATTCTATCTAATATGAATGAGGAGGGATTAAAAACGGTTTTCATGCGAAGAAATCAATTGTGGTCATTTTCAAATTCAGTACTTCTCGATAAGTAATAGTAATTTCTACCCCGATATTTCATAATCTATGTATTCGACAAGAAATTGAAGAAAATTCGACAATAAAACTCGAATCAATCGATTGAAATGTAGCTTTTTTTTAAAAAATCGAATTCATTCCGCATTGCTAGCTTCGCTACTTACATTACACGCGACATTTACGTCTCGATTTACATCCCGGTATTTTTTTTCTTCTTCTTCCTGTTCGGGTGTTGTATGTTTGCGCTTCAATTCAGATTCGTGCCACTCTATGTCTCGACAGAGTTCAAAATCAGTTTATTCAGTGTCTTAAATCAACTGAATACGATTGAATTTAAACAGAATTGATATCGAATTACAATCCTTCATTATTGGGAAGGTACGATGAATCATTTTTTTCTACTTCCCACTTTTTTTGAAAAATCCCAATAAATGCCATACAATTAGATTGCATTTTGACGTATTATAAC